GAGCCCGGCCTGGGGCCCCGGAAGCAGTGCCGAGAGCAGCCCCAGTAGCAGCGCCATGGCCGGGTGGAACGCCTACATCGACAACCTCATGGCGGACGGGACCTGTCAGGACGCGGCCATCGTGGGCTACAAGGACTCGCCCTCCGTCTGGGCCGCCGTTCCCGGGAAGACCTTCGTCAACATCACGGTACTGCGAGGCCTGCGAGGTCCGGGGCACTGGGTGGGCTTGGACCCTGAAGAAGGGACTTGGGTGGGAGCGGGCGCGGTCTAGGGAGGGTAGCGAAAGGCCCTGGCCGGGTCCTTGCCCTGAAAGCGGCGCGAATTGCGGCTGCACGTGAGCGGGTCCCTCCGTTGACCCCAGAGCCCTACACCCAAGGCGGCGGCGCCCATCCCGCCCGCCGCCCCGCTTTCCGCGACGGGGCGTTACATCCGGGGCACAGGGCGGGGAGGGGCGCGCCGCCCCGTGCGGCGGCCCACTTCCGCCTCCTCCAGGGCGGGGCGGGCATGCGCTGCAATTTTAACCCGGGATTGAGATTGAGAAGGGATTTGGGGACCCCTGGACCTCCAGCTCTCCGTCTGGCCGTCAGCGTGCTCCCCTTCCACCATTGTTCCCCTTTGGGCGCCCGCTTTGCTGCCGTGCCCGTGGGCTCCCGGCCCCTCCCAACTCCGTTAGAGAGGGCGAGGCCGCCACACGCCCCCCCTAACTCGGCACGTTGGACTCAACATTCCTGCGAGGCCAGTCCCGGAAGTCCCCTTGCCCTCCCTTCCCGCCATCCGTCGGGGCCTGGAACAGGGGAACTTTGTGAGAAGTTCTGAGATCGCTAAGTGAGGGAATAAGGGATGCCTGCCGCTGTCCCCACCACAACCTCGCCTGTCCACACTGCCCGGAAGTGGGGAGGGGGAACGGAAGTTTGAAAGGGGGGAAGGGGATTTCTCAAGGGGCCTTTCAGTTGGGGGTGCTTTTGGGGTGCAAGGGGGAGGGGAAGAAAAGTTCCCTGGGGTATCTACAGGAGAGGAGGCTTGGCGGGTCTCCTCCTGGGCTCTCCCCGCTCCCTCTGAAAAGTTTCCAACTGTGCTGAAAGCCCCCTGGGGTCTGCTCCCTCCTCGCAGGATGTAGATACCTGGACCTACACTCTAGGTACTTGGAGACCCAGGCGTCCGGGGCCCCTAACAACTCCTGCAGAACCTTTGACCAAATAAGGGCAAAGTTGCTTCTCTTGCCTCGCCCGCCCCCTCCCTTCCCCTCTCTGCTTCTGCTTTTCCTGAAGGAGAGTTCTGAGCATCCAAGGGCTCCCCACTCTCCTCAATGACTTTTGGATCGTTTATTTTCTGGCTTTGCTTTCCGTATTAAACGCCGAGATCTTAGTCTCCAGAGGACTTTGTCATCTCTTCCTCCCTGGTCCTATTTTCTAGGTTTGAGAATGAAATGTCTTTTTGGTATGGACTTCTTACAGTCCTAAGAGCTTCTCAGATTTCATCGATGTGCACAAAGCATATAACATACATCCTCCGGGGGAGGAGATCTAGCTGTCAGTGAAGCCAAAGGGAAGTGGGTCCTGGGAGAACAGTGTAAGAAGCTTGATGTGCTAACTTGTTTGGGTGTTCGGTTCCTCTTCCAGCCAGCTGAGGTTGGTGTCCTGGTTGGCAAAGACCGGTCGAGTTTTTTCGTAAATGGGCTGACACTTGGAGGCCAGAAATGTTCTGTCATTCGGGACTCACTGCTGCAGGATGGGGAGTTTACCATGGATCTTCGTACCAAGAGCACCGGTGGAGCCCCCACCTTCAACGTCACTGTCACCATGACTGCCAAGAGTGAGTTTTGAACCCTAACCCTCTAGCTCCAAGATCTCTAATGGACTGCCTTCTGTTCATCTGTTGGGGTTTTTCTCTGTGTCATTCGCAGTGTAGTCAGCAGTGTACTAACACTCTACTTCAGTCTGCTGCTGCACTGGTAGTCCCCCCAGTTCTGTCTCAGTTCCTCATCTTGTAATGAAGAAGCTGAACTGCATTACTTAGTTCGTTCTCCTTGAGCCTTTGCAGATGAAAAACTGTTTTCTTGGAGTTGGTAGATTGTTGGGGTCCTGGTCCTAAATCAGCATTGAGCTCTTTTGAACCTTAGAGGTAGCAGGCTCATCCACAGCCACTTGTGGCTGGAACACCAGAGTCCACAGTCCTGGGCCTTTGACCCCTAAATTTTAGTCTGTTCCTCTCCAGCCTTTAAGCTTGATTTTCTCCTTTTGAAAAGCTCTATTGTTTCAGGGTGACTGACAGCCTGCCTGTGTGTGGGGGGTTGGGAGGGAAGAGGTTGGGTTACAGCCCCTAGGGCTGGACAGCTGCTCAACAAACAGCTGGCAGGGGGTAGAATTGTGACACCTGGGTCCTAGCCTCCTTTCTCTTTCCTTCAGCGCTAGTCCTGCTGATGGGCAAAGAAGGTGTCCACGGTGGCATGATCAACAAGAAATGTTATGAAATGGCCTCCCACCTGCGGCGTTCCCAGTACTGACCTCGTCTGTCCCTCCCCCCACCACTCCCCACAGCTTTTGCACCTCTCCTTCTCGTGTACACACACACACCATTTTTATTTTTGGGCCATTATCCCCCACACCCTCATTGCTGCCAAAACCACATGGGCTGGGGGCTGGGGTTGGATGGACAGACACCTCCCCTACCCATAACCCCTGTGTGTGGTTGGAAAACTTTGTTTTTTTGGGTTTTTTTTTTTTTTTTTTTTTGAAATAAAAAATATTT